CATTAGTTAACCAGACTGACTGATATTTTAAGCTTCGATTACTAGAGAAAACTTTCGTTATAATCTATATTAATAAAAGAGTAAAGTGATTGCTGACTGACTTAAAAAAACTGAGGCTAGAATTATGAAATTTGGGGTGACGGTCACTCTTTGTCCGAAGGTGTCAGAAGGATTTTTTGAAAATTCGTACAAGAACGGCACGAAAAGTAGTGAATTTGGTACCATTTGTATTTTGGGAACCGGTAAAAGTAGAGCTTTTTAATTTGGAATGAGGTTACTTATGAATTGTAGGACAGATGTACCAAAGGGTTTTTGGAAATTCAAAATATAAGTATCCGAAATGTACTAAATTTATTAGAATTTCGTAGCATGTGAACGGATTGAGCTAAAAATTATAATGCGAATCCAGAAGTAGGAACGATGTAAACGAAAAGGTACTAAATTTGGTACAATTTGAAGTTGAAGGAACGGATGGAGTTGCAAGGATTGGGATATGTAGAAAGTTTTGGAAATTCGTACTAATGCGTTCTAAATGTTACTAAATTTCGTATAATTTGGATTTAGGTGAAACGATAGGGCTGGAATGCTGACATTGGGAAATAAGGTTTCCACTGGTTGTATGATAAAGGTAGTTATAGAAATTTATACTCATGTGTAATAAATAGTACTAAATTTGATATAATTTTAATTAAGGTGATCCGATCGAGCTGGAATCCTGAAAATTGGCATTTAGATTACTGTTGGAGTGTAAAGTTAGGATACGAAGTTTTGGAAATTCGCACATATGTGTACTAAATTCGAATCTGGGTGAACTGGAATCCTGAAATTTGGAAATGGTTTTGGGTAAACCTATAGAGCTCGAATCATAAACTGTTGAATTAGTTTTGGAAATAAGTACTACAAGATACAAAAGGTAATAAATTCTACCGAATTTGCTATAAAGCTATATTTCTCTTGCGGTCAGAATCGGGGTGTAGTGTTGTGATATGGAGGTAGTTTTGGAAATACGTACTATAAGAGAACAAAGGTATTAAAGGGTAGGTTGATTAATTCTTCTGACATGTGTAGATTTCTGTGACAAAAAAAGGTATTTTCATACATCCACTAACGAAGTAGCGGGCATATGCTAGCGTTCTCGAGTGATTATAATGTCCATACTAATTAATATAGCACTGATTAACAACATTACCATCCATTTGTAAAATGTTGAGATTTGTCAATCATACGTGTGATTTCTAGAGTAATTAAAAAACTAAAATAAAGCAGTTGGTACATGTAATAATCTTAATATTACCCGATGAACATGAAATATACGTTTATCTTAAGAACGGTTACAGATGCCGTTTTCAAAATTTGAATAACGAAGGTCTGAATACACACCATCCATACAAAAAATGAGCATATACGATCAACGGAATTGCACTTTTTACCTCACTGCATTTTAAAAGTTAGCATATTGAAAATTGAAAATATTTTGTTTGTAGACTCTAAAAATGCTGAAAAGATTTTCTGAGATGTTCACAGAACATCATAACATGCCCTGGGTATAACATATGCTATCTAAACTTCTAAGATTTTCCGAGGATGCGGTGTTATAACATCGAACGTAATCATACCTCAAAAATTATAAACATGTAGTTTGTGTATCTCTTAAGTACGGTTACAGGTACCGACTTCAAACTATTGCTGAGTAATGTGAGTGTAAATACGCATCATCCACACAACATGACCGCAACATGACAAGGGAAAATGCATACCTCATTGCGTTTAAATCTATACGTACAAAATAGAAAACATATTGTTTGTGGACTCAAAAACCACTAAACGGATTTCACTAAAATGTTCATAGTAAGTCAAGCGATCCCATAGAAGTAACATAGGTTAGATAAAAAAATATGATTGAGTAACATGGATACAAATACTGAGGATATATTTTCGAACGATGAGGATATATTACATATATAAGTATGCATGTATATTGAAATAAAAATTGTGTAAAATAAAAAAAAAATTAAAAATGTTAAAAAAATGGTTGACATTTTCCATTTTTGTCAGTTTGTGAAAACTTATTTATTTTGAACAAAATCAAACAAAATAGTTCCGTTCCAGAACCTAACAGAATCTACTCATTTTACATGTTTTGCAACTTTTTACTAGAAAACCGTCCCTCAACCCACAAAACTAGTAAAACATTTACTCAAATTTAAGAGAGCACAAAACAAAATGGCTTTCTCTTTGAAAACTTTTTACTCGAGAAATTTGGTCGAGTAAAAATGGTAATCAGGAATACCTACTTCTGATTGGCTGTTATGTTGATTTTGAAGTATTGCCATCTAATTTTGGGATATTTACTAGATTTGCGTTCCTGAACTTTTAAAATTATTTTGTACTCTGAGAGCAATTTTGAAATATTTCCCTTTTACTAGATTTACTATTAAACCAGTGAGCGGAACAGTATAGTCGGACGGGGCCGACCATACGATACCCTACACAACTTCCATGAAAATCTAACTTTCTGTGGTTCTATATTCTGAGATTGGGCAATATTTTGCGATCTTTGCACACTTTTGACTGGCTAGAGGTCAGAAAATGTTACTAATAATCAGTACAGCCCCTCTAATTACTTGTCCAGATTCCCTTCACCGTGGGTTGTGTTGTGATGTTCGGCTTTCGACAAGAAAATTACAAGTAATTAAGTTTTCGGTCCACTTCATCCGAAAAATTATTATCTGATCATCACCTAACATTTTAGGCGTTGTCCTTGACCATAACTGGAACCTCATGGAACATTTCAAAGCGATCAGCGCTATACTTCCGTCCTCCAGTGTGGTAATAGGATACTTAATAATATATGAATACGTAAGCACCTGTAAATATTTAATTGTAACTCCCGTATCCGAGTACCTACGACAACATAATTGGTATCAATTTAAAGGTCAACCACTCCTCTCGGATATACTATCAACTTCTCGGGTCTATGTCCTTCAGTGGTAAATATATACACTATAGAATTCAAATTTTGTAATTTTTCACACAAAAGTTAGAGTCCATTTGACCCGCTAAATATTGACCGATCTTTAACAAAACAGGCATGCTTATTCTTTGACCCGGTCCCCTTCTCCATGCAAAAATTCGCGGTGTTTGGGCCATAATTTCGGCCTCTGGAGAGACCAGAAAATCAGACAAAAATAAAATTTTTGGTCCATTTCATCCCCTAAATATTAACCGATCTTTTCCCAAAACAATAGGGGTCTTCATTGGCCAGAACCCATCCTACATGCAAAATTTCGTGAAGATTGGTCCATAACTGTGGCCTGTATCGTGTTTACAAATTATAATGGACAGACGGACGGACACACATGTCTAGATCGACTCAGCTAGTCGAGATATGACGATCGGTATACTTAAAGGTGGGTCTAGGACCAATATTTCGCGGCGTTACAAACTTTTGGGGCTGCACAAAGCTTTAATACCCTGACAACATAGTTGTGTAGGGTATAAAAAGTACTGGAACAGACCAATTATAATTATACCCTACACAACTATGTTGTCAGGGTATTATAGCTTTGTGCAGCCCCAAAAGTTTGTAACGCCGCGAAATATTGGTCCTAGACCCACCTTTAAGTATACCGATCGTCATATCTCGACTAGCTGAGTCGATCTAGACATGTGTGTCCGTCCGTCCGTCTGTCCATTATAATTTGTAAACACGATACAGGCCACAGTTATGGACCAATCTTCACGAAATTTTGCATGTAGGATGGGTTCTGTAGGATGGGTTCTGAAGACCCCTATTGTTTTTGGGAAAGATCGGTTAATATTTAGGGGATGAAATGGACCAAATACTAAATTTTTGTCGGTTTTTCTGGTCGCTCCAGAGGCCGCAATAATGGCTCGAACATCTTGAAATTTTGCATGGAGAAGGGGATCGGGCCAAATAAAAGGCATGCATGTTTTGATAAAGATCGGTCAATATTTAGCGGGTCAAATGGACCCAGACTTTTGTGTGAAAAATTACAAAATTTGTAATCTATAGCGTATATATTTGTCCCTGATGGACATAGACCCGAGAAGTTGATTTTATATCCAAGAGGAGTGGTTGACCTTTAAATTAATACCAATTATATAGTTGTATGTGCTCGGATGTGGGAGTTATACCCAAATATTTACAGGTATCTCCGTATACGTATATTATTGAGTAATCCATTACCATACTGGAGGGCGGAAATATGGCGCTGATCGCTTTGAAATGTACCATGAGGTTCCAGTTATGGACAACGCCTATAATTTTCGATGATCGGATAATAATTTTGGGATGAAGTGGACCGAAAACTTAATTTTTTGTATTATTTTCCAGTCGATCTATAGACCACAAATGAAAGCCGAACATCACAACACAACCCACGGTGAAGGGTTGTCAGTGTCAGGAAGAGGTGCTGTTTACCTCTAATCGGGCAAGAGGGTGCACATATCAAGAAATATTGCCCAGGCTCGGAATAAACATCCGCAGAAAATTTGAGTTCCGTGGTAGTTGTGTAGGGTATCGTATGGTCGGCCCCGTCCGACTATACTGCTCCGCTCACTGGTTTTTGAATTGTTGTTACTTTGCGAACAAATTGTGTTTCAAGAAAACAAAAATTACCACCATTACAGAAAACAGCGAATCATTAAATAACTACTATACACCTACTACAACATGGATATTTCACACTTTTTTGTAGTTTTATAAATATTCCAGGGTTTACCAAATTTTAAAATTAAACTTAGTAAATATTGCAGCTGATGCTTACTTATTGATCATACCTAAATTTTAATTTGATAACTTCAGCAGGGGCAGCGAAGCCCCACGGGTCCCGCTAGTATACCTATAATATTTAAATAATCGATTTATTTTCCCTCCCCACAAGTTAAATTTAGAACGAGTAATAAAATTCAACAACAAAATATATATACTTTATGGCTCGTCAATTATTTCGTTTATTTTTCATCAGAAGATCGATTTAAAAGAAAGCTGGAGCAGCGGCATAAGTCAACGGTGCAGAGTAAGCGAAAGGAGCAGCATAAGTGGCAGCGTATTTGGCAACAACTGGAGCAGAGTAAGCGGCAGCAGCGACTGGGGCAGCGAAAGTCTTGGCAACAATGGGAGCAGCAACAGTTTTGGCTACAACAGGGGCAGCAACGGGAGCAACAACTGGGGCGGTGGCAATACCATTGTAGTTGCGAGCAACATATTGGCTACTGGTGGCAGTAACCAATGGAGCTGGGGCGGCAGCAACAACAGCAGCGGGTGCGGTGTAAGCCAAAGGAGTAACCAAACCGGGCTTGGCAGCAGCACAGGCAATGATGGCGAACAGGACAACGGTGAATTTGAACATTTTGATTTAGTTTTGGTTTTTCGCGAATGTTATTACTTCGATAAGTAAGAAACTTCTGATACTGAATTGTGAATTTATGAAGCTATTTATAGTCAGTACATTTTTCTATTCTTCAATGGTTATAACACATAAAATGTTCATGTTTAATTTAATGTACATACGTGTTGTATACCTATAATTGATGTACGTCATGAGAAATACCCAAAGCTAAACATAATTAAAATGTTGAACACATATATTGGAGCACATACGAGCTAATACATGATTTAGCTATTATTATTGAGGTAGGCTAAATAAACCAAATTTATTATAATTCGGAAGGAAATCAACACAAATAATAATTAATTCAAACCTACACTAATTCAAGATTGTCCCTATAAAATTTCATGTAAAAATTCAAGAACTCTTGAGGACATACCCGATTTATTGTGTCAGCATCAAGTGACGGCAAGAGTGATTCTCAAACTTTAAATGGGTTTTCTCAAAACAGTGTTTTTATGAATGGCGGGCACGATAACTCAAAAACTACTAATCCAATAGGTTCCAAATTTGTACACGTTTACCTGTGAGCGTATAGCTATCGTATGAACTAGGATAAATCCCATCGGCCAAAATCTCCCTTATTTTTCAACTAGTTCGTGGTGATAAATATGTCATTTTCCAAAAAAAAAATTATTTCAAAGTTGCGCCATTTTTTAATTTTGTGCGAAGTCAATAATCCTAGTTCATACGAGAGCCACACATGTACTCTTTCTAATGCCATTGGAATTTTCGGATTTCGATGTTCCAGTGAGGAGTTATGATGCCCGCCATCAAAAGTAAGGTCTTCAATATATTTAACCAAAGCATTATAGTTGGAGGTTTAGTTTTCTGTTGACTTATATCAATATCGGACGAAAAAAACGTTAACCGATTTTTATCAATTTAACCAGTGTGTTCTTGTACCATATCTTAGCAATGTATGTTCAAAATGTCACAGCTCCATCTAAAATATTACGAGGACTACCTTTATATATAATAGAGCTTAGTATTAAGTGAGTGAGTGAGTGACTGACAGATCATCGCCCAGCCGAAACGGCTAAAGCTATAAACTTGAAATCTTGAGTGTGGGTTGTTGTTGATGTGAAGGCGTGGGATAGGGCTGGGTTTTTTTGGAAATCCGAACTAGAAGGTATGAAAAGTACTAAAATGTACCAAATACGGTACTCTTTGTATTAGGTGAACGGGAAGAAATTTGGAATGTGGGTCACTGATGGAATGTTAGAAAGATGTGTAAGAGGGTTTTTGGAAATTCGATCTATAATTGTACGAAAAGTACTAAAATTTACTAAATTTAGTTCTAATTGTATATATATATATGTATATAACTATAATCGTGAAATTTTTTAAGGAATACAGGTTGGGAGTGGTGTTGATGTATGGAAAAGGTTTAAGAAATTAGTACTTATGTGTATAAAAAGTACAAAATGGTACTTTAGCTGGAGTTTTCAAATTTGGGATTAAAATGGCTGTTGGAGTGTAGGTTTGAGGTAGCATAGAAAATTCAAACTTATGAGCACGGAAAGTACTAAATGGTATTAAATATGGTACAACTTAGATCTATGTGGACGGAAAGGGCTGGGACCCCAAAATGTATGATTAAAATGACTGCTGGAGTGTTGAATTTAGGAAGTTTTTTGGTTTACAATTATTAAAATTACGAATACTATCTGAAAGGAGGATTGAGGTAGTTTTGGAAATTCGTACTATTCGTACTCATAGGTATGAGATGTATGATGATATGTGGGAATAGAAGTGGAATTCGGATTTATAGTACAAAAATTATATTGTATTGTTTATTTGTTTTGTGTCCCCTTTCCGCATACAACGTAGCGGACACTTCGCTAGTTACCAATAAATTAAAAAAAAATTCGTTTATTTCCATTTTTCAGTACATTCTCATATGGTTCACGAGATACTTCATTCGCTGATTTACTTGAGGAATTTTGAAACTAATCTGACTTTTTAATTAAAAACAGTCGTGGGGTTTTTATGTAGTGTATATGTATAAATAATAATTGAGTATTTGAAACACTATTGTATAATCGGACGAAAATATATTTGGGAGATATATCGACGCCTCCGAAGAATAGTATGCTAAGTCTGAAAAGTGAGTTTTTCAGTAGAAGCTTTCAAAGTATGGAAGTTTCTTGGAACTTACGTGCCATGCTAAGTACATTTTTGCCTATAACTTTGGTTTGGATTGGCCGATGATTACCAAAATTTCAGAGAATTCAAATTAAGGACCGTAGTATCTAAAAACGTAGTATAACAAACGTTCGTTTCAATAGGTTATGTTCTTATGCCAAATATATTAGCTGTGCCAAATGCGATATCATTTGCATTATAAATACAACATGTACAATATTTAAAAATACTTGGACAAGAAGCCGATTTTTATTCGGCACAAGTTAATCATAGAATCAGTATTAAACTTCAACAAAGAAAACAAAATAAGAACTTTTGTGGTTCGTCAATTATTTCGTTTATTTATAATCAGAAGATCCATTTAGAAGAAAGCTGGAGCAGCGGCATAAGTCAAGGGTGCAGAGTAAGCGAAAGGAGCAGCATAAGTGGCAGCGTATTTGGCAACCAAGGGGGTAGAGTAGGCGGCGGCAACTGGGGTGGTATAAGCAGCGACTGGGGCGGCGAAAGTCTTGGCAACAATGGGAGCGGCAACAGTCTTGGCTACAACAGGGGCGGCAACGGGAGCAACAACTGGAGCGGTGGCAATACCATTGTAGTTACGAGCAACATATTGGCTACTGGTGGCAGTAACGAAAGGTGCAGGGGCGGCAGCAACAACAGCGGCGGGAGCGGTGTAAGCCAAAGGAGTAACCAAACCAGGCTTGGCAGCAGCACAGGCAATGACGGCGAAGATGACAACGGCCTAAAACAGATGATATAATTTATTATTTATTTAAAATCTATTAAGAGCCAGCTTTTTCTTTCAACTTACGAATTTGAACATTTTGTTTTTTTAGGTTTGAATTTGTATTTACTCTGAAATTTAGAGAACTTCTGATATCATTTTGTTAAAACATTTAACTATTTATAGTATCTTTCCAGAGTCCGAAACATATTTACAATAATACGGTTATTTTACCGCATTAATTTGCAATTGAATTGACGACGAAATCCGAATTTAAATTGGACTCAATTATATTCACATTCATGTCTGCGGCGTACATACACAGGTGTGTAAAAACACATACAACAAAAAGAGTATATTAAAATTGTGATGAGGAACTGGTTTGGATTACCTACTACCGTTTTTGTATTTAGCATGCAATTCAAAAAACATTCTTTGTGTTCTTGAAATTTAAAAGTAAATTTTATTAAATGCTGCATAATCTGTTACTCATATTCCAATTTTTGTTTGTCCATTTAATTACAAATTAATACCTTAAAATAAGTATAAATAGTTAACTGTTTTAACAATATGATATCAGAAGTTCTCTAAATTTCAGAGTAAACACAAATCCAGAACCAAACAAATCAAAATGTTCAAATTCGTAAGTTAAAACAACAATTTAATGTAAATGTAATTTCGAAACTTAATAAATTGTTTTATTATCATTTTAGGCCGTTGTCATCCTCGCCATCATTGCCTGTGCTGCTGCCAAGCCTGGTTTGGTTACTCCTTTGGCTTATACCGCTCCCGCTGCTGTTGTTGCTACCGCTCCTGCACCTTTGGTTACTGCCACCAGTAGCCAATATGTTGCCCGTAACTACAATGGTATTGCCACTGCTCCAATTGTTGCTCCCGTTGCCGCTCCTGTTGTAGCCAAGACTGTTGCCTCTCCCATTGTTGCCAAGACTTTCGCCGCCCCAGTCGCTGCTGCTTACACCACCCCAGTTGCCGCCGCCTACTCTACCCCAGTGGTTGCCAAATATGCTGCTACTTATGCTGCTCCTTTCGCTTACTCTGCACCTTTGACTTATGCCGCTGCACCAGCTTTCTTTTAAATGAATCTTCTGATGAAAAATAAACGAAACACTTGATGAACCAACAACGTATACAAATTGTCTTTTTATTGTATATTTTATAAAAAAAAATGTAAACGATAAATTAGGTCATATTGAACATTGTATAACTCTTACAATATTTATCGCATCTATCGTCGGGATATATGAAAGATGGACCACTGAAATTCAAATAAGAATTATACCATTGGAATATCACATTAGTTCTGAACTAAATATGATGTGACAAAAACGCAGCCTGTTTCCATGAAATTTTAATGGAACGAATTTGAGTCAAACATTGATTTGTTGAGGCAATTACTATGTTTTTATTATACCCTTCACCACACTGTGGTACAGGGTATTAATCTTTGTGCATATGTTTGTAACAGGCAAAAGGGAACGAGATAGATACAAGATTCCTTTTTATAATATCACTTTTTATAATATCCATGTTAAACAGTAAACAAAGTACAGGTCGCATTTATGATCCGAATTGGATGAAATTTGGCCTATGTCACTTATTTGGCCCAAAGACAAACCCTATTGTAATTGAGAAAAATCGGTCCAGATTTAGATATAGCTCCCATATATATTTTCGTCCGATTTAATGTAAATGGTGTACCAATGTCCCTATATATCGTTCGATATTCATGAAATTTGTCATAGCGTGATAAATTATGTCTAGAATGATGTGAGTTAAATTTCCTGGAAATCGGTCCAGATTTAGATATAGCTCCCAAATATATTTTCGTCCGATTTAAGGTAAATGGTGCACCAAAGTCCCTACATATCTTTCGATCTGCACGAAATTTGGCACAGCGTAAGTAATTAGGTCTAGATGGATGTGTGTTAAGTTTTCTGAAAATCGGTTCAGATTTAGATATAGCTTCCATATATATTTTCGTCCGATTTAAGGTAAATGTTGCACCAAAGTACCTATATATGTTTCGATTTGCACGAAATTTGGCATAGCGTACTGAATTAAGTCTCGAACGATGTGTGTACAATTTCTTGAAAATTGGTTCAGATTTAGATATAGCTCCCATATATATTTTCGTCCGATTTTATGTAAATGGTGCACCAAAGTCAATATATATCTTTCGATTTGCACGAAATTTGACATAGCGTACTGAATTGATACTAGAATGATGTGTGCAAAGTTTCGTGACAATCGGTTCAGATTTAGATATAGCTTCCATATATATTTTCGTCCGATTTTATGTAATTGGTGCACCAAAGTCCCTATGTATCTTTCGATTTGCACGAATTTTGGTATAGGTTACTGAATTAAGTCTAGAATGATGTTGCTAAGCTTCGTGAAAAGATCCATAGCTAGGCCGATTGACACAACGCACTGATGTAATATAGATTAGTCTCTGGAACTTTCTCTGAAATCAGTTCAGATATATTCTACATATATTAGGATACATATGTAGAATATACCCAAAGTGGTGAAGGGTATCATATAGTCGGCCCAGTCCGACTTTACTACTTTCCTTACTGGTTTTGTTTGCTGACGAATTGCCGACAGTAACTCAAATTATTAGCTGAATAAATGTATTAAGAATGCAGACACATTTCTTGGTTTAATACTTATCAAACGACGTCCACCGATGTAAGTTTTTGACACATATCAGTACTTAATATTTGGTAGCATCAAGCTGAATTTGTAGGGTCTTTAGGGTTCTCTATACAAAGTTTAGCCCGTCCGGACTGAACGATTTTTTTATAGCTATAGAGATTGGATCATACAGGTTCATGATTTTGTATATCCTCAAATAGGAATAGTATTTTCAATTGGCTAGAGTTATCATACTATAATTTGCTCTATTCAATTATTTTTTATAGCATAAAATACACCTTGCATGTGTTTGCATGTAACATGAAGAGCTATACACATACTTTCTTCTAAGGATATTATTAAAATACTTTCTTAGTCGCAACAAACATGTCCATCGGGTTGCATATCAGTTTGTCCATGTATTTTTGTAAACATGGTGTAGATTAATTGGGATGAAAAGCGTGTCCAGCTTGATTTAAGTTGGTACATTGCATACTCTTATATTGAACATTTTCTTTAAGAAGATCTATTAACCTATGAAAACCTGAAAACTTCGTTCTCAATAACCGAAAATACAACCTATATAAAAAGCGAAAATTGGAGAGAATCCGATGTATGAATGTGGCTAGAGCATGCAATTTACCGAAAATCGGGTGATAATATTATATGGGAAGTGAAGATTGATATCCTAAAATTACTTAGGGTATTCAAATCCTCATTTTGTAATCATTCTTGGGCGGTGCGTTCACCATCGCACTCAGGATGGTCCTGTTGGAATTCCAAAGTCGGCGGCCAAAATTTTTGCGTGCCCATGGCTATAATACACCCTCCAGAATATTTTCGCGATAATATTCAGCATTTATTCTGATGATATACGATTAATACGAGTGAAGAGCTACCATCGGCTGTTATGGTGGCCCAAACCATCACCATGGTTCACATTTTCAGCTGACCCCTTTGGCAAGAAAACACGATAATTTTTTTTTTGTTTACAAACTGCTGGACAACGAATGTTTTCTTATCGAAGAAAACCAATTTCGGCAGTTCACCACTTTTGGCCATACTCTTTAGCTCTTTTCAGTCTATTTTCTTTCTGTTCCATCACGAATAACTTTTTTCTGAAAAATTCTTACCAAAATGCTTTTGTACACTTGTAAACAATATAATGATCTGTCACTGAAAATTTTTAACAACTTTCGGACAAGTGGCTTAGAAATTACAGCAGTCTGATGTTGGTTGCAGTTTTTCTTGTACCAAATGCATTGCTAATATTTGGTACAAGAACACACAGTTGAAATATATAAAAATCGGTTCAAAATTTTTTCGTCCGTTATCTCCCAAGCTATTGATATAATTACAACGAAAACTAAACACCCACCTATAATGCTTTAGTTAAATGTATTATTTTTTGAGGTAATTTCCTTCCGAATTATAATAAATTTTGAAAACGAATTTGGTATATTTAGCCTACCTCAATAATAATAGCTAAATCATGGTAGCTCCTTCTCCTACTCAATTTAAATATACAATATGCTCGTATGTGTTCCAATATATGTGTGCAACATTTTAATTAAGTTTAGCGTTGGGTATTTCTCTTGGCGTATAGCAATTATGGGTATACAACACGTACACCATATTAAACATGGACGTTTTATGTGTTATAACCATTGAAGAATAGAAAAATGTAGTGACTATAAATAGCTTCATAAATTCCCAATTCAGTATCAGAAGTTTCTTACTTATCGAAGTAATCACATTCTCGAAAAAACCAAAACTAAATCAAAATGTTCAAATTCGCCGTTGTCCTGTTCGCCATCATTGCCTGTGCTGCCGCCAAGCCCGGATTGGTTACTCCTTTGGCTTACACCGCTCCAGCTGCTGTTGTTGCTGCCGCTCCTGCACCTTTCGTTACTGCCACCAGTAGTCAATATGTTGCCCGCAACTACAATGGTATTGCCACTGCTCCAGTTGTTGCTCCCGTTGCCGCCCCTGTTGTTGCCAAAACTGTTGCCGCTCCCATTGTTGCCAAAACTTTTGCTGCCCCAGTTGCCGCCGCCTACTCTACCCCCGTGATTGCCAAATACGCAGCCACTTATGCTGCTCCTTTCGGCTACTCTGCTCCATTGACTTATGCCGCTGCTCCAGCTCCAGTTTTCTTCTAAGCATATTAAAATTGGCCTTTACATGATAAATAAAAGAAGTACCTGATAAAAATCAAAATTAGTTCAATTTTTGCATTTATTAGTCAAGCGAAGTTCATAAGTTTAGCAAATTATATTTGGGGGTCATTTCACAAATTTATTCCTCATTATGGCGTATTAAATTAATACTTCTGCCTAAACTACAAAAATTCCACTTGAAAATTTTCCATGATGTTCAGAGATGGTATTTACCGGGTAATTAGCCAAGCGGTGAGTAAGTATCCATTTGCGGGCATTTATTTGGGTTCATCGTTAATATAAAAGTTTACACCCTATTTCGGGTTTTTCATATCAAATCATTCCAAATATATAGTATTTTATTAATCTAAATACTTTACTTGGGTAAATACTCGAGTACTTACCCAAATATTGGGTATAAACTTATTACCTGGCTGCATAAATATTTGGTACTCATTGAGAACTCTCTGTGCCAAATTGCAGCCAATTTTATTGTGAAATGTGCCTAATAGATACAAATTACCTTAATACGGTACGGTTATATTTGGGCTATTCCAAAACATGGATATCCTATTTTGCATACCAGCATTCGTTTTGATATTAAAAATATGTGATCCAAATTTTGGCTGCCAAGTGGTTTAGCAGTTAAAGAGTTTATACCCAATGATCCTCTCTAATATTAGACATTTGCGAAAGCAAACGATTTTAAAATATTTTTGAGATTTTGAGTGTTTAAAATCTATAATTATCAGGTACAATTTATCGTATAATCCGCACATAACGTCGACCTAGCGGCCAGGACAAAAGGCCCAATTGATATATCCCTGATATGACCAAATATTCATTGAAGATTCCATACATATTTTCCAATTAAATGTGGAGCAGAAGTTCTTGAAACTGATGTTGAATATACACCGAGGTTTTGAAATATTCCTCCTTCACGATTTCTACACTTCGATGTATTTAGAATAATCCCATATAACATGATATAATTTCTGCAATTTTGTAGCCTTAAGATATTTTTGATACCCTTGAAAAAAGTGTCAAAAGGGTCGTAGATTTTGCACCGGTTTTACTTATATAGAGGTAACCATCAATTATAATAATTGAACCACGATACGAAAGAAAAAATGGCCGAACCTTAAGTGTTTTTTTTCAGTCGTGGCTAATTTGAATGTTTCCATAGGGATTTTTGGATTCGATCTCATAGTCCTACACCCATGATTCGCCAATAGTAATGACCATTTTCAAGAACCTCTATCATCGATTAGTTTGTTCGAGAACTTTTTTGTCTTTCTGTCGTTATGAAATTTGATCAGACTAGACGAGGTCTGTTGTTTTTAAAATTAGATATTAAATCAAATTATATAAAATTAACCAATAGATTTTGCAAAATATGATGAAATAAATTTCAATGCTTGTGACCCAGAAAACAATATTTCAATGAAATCAATTCCGAAAATTTACGGCACACATAAAAAGTAAATATATGTAAGTATTTTTTCAGTAAATAATTTATTTTCTTTTAAATAACATAATTTTGAGATCGACGATATTTACAAGAAAACTGGAGCTGGAGCAGCAGCATAAGTCAAAGGAGCAGAGTAGCCGAAAGGAGCAGCATAAGTGGTAGCGTACTTGGCAACAACTGGGGTGGAGTAGGCGGCGGCAACTGGGGTGGTGTAAGCAGCAGCGACTGGGGCGGCGAAAGTCTTGGCTACAACAGGAGCGGCAACGGGAGCAACAACTGGAGCAGTGGCAATGCCATTGTAGTTACGGGCAACATATTGGCTGCTGGTGGCAGTAACGAAAGGTGCAGGGGCTGCAGCAACAACAGCAGCTGGAGCGGTGTAAGCCAAAGGTGTAACCAAACCGGGCTTGGCAGCTGCACAGGCAATGATGGCGAACAGGACAACGGAAAATTTGAACATTTTGGTTATGTTTTAGATTTTTTCAAGACTGCGATTTCTTGAATAAGCAAAGAATTTCTGATACGGAATTTCGAATGTGCTGAAACTATTTATAGTAATCTGTACTAAAAAATTAAACTCAATGATTGTGTGTGCAATATAAGTTAACGTTAGCCCATTGCCGATTCACATTAAAATTTCCCACACACCTATTAAAATACATGTACATACATTGAATACATAATTAATATAATACAAAATATACATTGTTGTAGGTTTCAAAAATGTTTTTAGTTAACGTTGACCTCATGCTATATTAAAATATATGGAGAGCACTTTTATAGAATAGAATGTTTGTATTAAATACCGTTATATTGAAATTCCTAATGGGTATTTATACACAACAGCTTAAAATTGTGTTTACTTAAAACATACTATAAATAGCTTGGCAAATTTAAAAGTCGGCATCAGAAGTTATTTGCTTATTCGAATAATCACATTCTCAAAACCATATAAAAATGTTCAAATTCGCCATTGTCTTGTTCGCCATCATTGCATGCGCCGCCGCTAAACCTGGTTTGGTTACCCCATTGGCTTACACTGCTCCCGCTGCTGTTGTTGCTGCCGCCCCAGCTCCATTTGTCACTGCCACCAGCAGCCAATATGTTGCCCGTAACTACAATGGCATCGCCACTGCTCCAGTTGTTGCTCCCGTTGCCACCCCTGTTGTAGCCAAAACTGTTGCTGCTCCAATTGTTGCCAAAACTTTCGCCGCCCCAGTTGCTGCTGCCTACACTACCCCCGTTGTTGCCAAATACGCTGCCACTTATGCTGCTCCTTTCGCTTATTCGGCTCCTTTGACCTATGCTGCTGCTCCCGCTCCAGTTTTCTTTTAAAAAAATTACCATAACGATATGATACAAATAAACACTTAATTTATGCCAAAAGATACTTAAATGTTTTATTTATGATATGATCAAATTGTCTATATTTTAAGTTAACTCAACTGATATTCGCGAGGCCCTTTTCGCGAATATTACGGAGAAAATTAAATTCTAAATTACAGACACTAACATTGGAAAAGTAGGCTAAGGACTTCAACATACTAACATTGACCTATATTGAAAAAGTTGTGGGAAGAAATATTTTAATCGCTACATCGATGGGAAATTGCCGCTGAGAACCTTCAAAATACCAAAAATGTGGCTGGTCCTCTTTTTATTGAAGATATGTCAACACATGAACATACATCGAAAATTTGCTTCAAATATCTGTTTCACCCTAAGATAATTTAACATTCCATCACTACGGTGGTGAAAATTTTTTTAAAAATACTGAAAATTTGCAGACATTTATTTGGAGGATCGAAATCGAAAAGTTTGGCAATACATTTTCTAGCCCTCCATGAACCTGGAATGCCAAATTACAGCCGGGGTGGAGAAATTCGATTAAAATTTGCAAAATACCGAAGATGAAGTGGATACTTATACAAAACATGGACCTACGTTTAAAATTATACCCTTCATCACACTGTGGTACTGGGTATTATGTATTTGTGCATATAACTCCTTGTACATTAGAACTTTTTTACCGGTGCAAAGGAAATGACACTTGAAACCCACTGGTTTAACGAAATCTGGTTAAATGTAAACGTACTATATGTTTGTAATAGGCAAAAGGAATCGAGATAGACCCATGGTTCTTTTTGAGAATATGCATAGATCACTTTCTGAGTCGATTTATGCCCGCCCGTCCGTCCGTCTGTCGATGTTAAATTGTAAACGAAGTACATGTCGCATTTATAATCCGATTTGGATGAAATTTGTACAGCCCATTTATTTGGCCCAAAGACGAGGAATCGGTGAAAATCGGTTCAGATTTAGATATAGCTCCCATATATATTTTCTTCCGATTTTAAGTAAATGGTGAACCAAAGTCCTTATATACCATTCGATTTTCACGAAATTTGGCACAGCGAACTGAATTAAGAGAACCATCCATCATAATTAAATCAAAAAAAATTTTTTTTTTGACCCCAAGAATGGGGGATCCCCTTAAGTCTAGAATGACGTTTGCTAATTTTCGTGAAAAACGGTTCTTATTTACATTTAGCTCCCATATACATTTTCGTCCGATTTTACTAGGCCGATTGACACAATGTACTGAAATTAGTATAAATTAATCTCTGGCTAGTATCCTTGAAGTCGGTTCAGAATATAACCAAAGTACTGAAGGGTATTATATAGTCGGCCCAGCCCGTCTTTACTGCTTTCCTTATTGGGTTCCTACGTAGAAATATGTCAGCTTTCGTCCATTTGAAAAATGCGACTAAAACTCAAAACAATATCGGAAATTGTCAAAAAAAAATTTCGGTATTGGCAATTTTCAGTGTAACAGCCTCCAAAAAAGTGGTAAGCTAAATTACAGCCATATGTTACCCTTTCAAAACACTTAGAATTATTTGGAGTTGTTCTCTTAGAAATATTTTTGTTTGTTTTTACATTCAGGTTGGAAAATTGGGGTAAGATCTTAATCATACCGAAAATGTGACAATGTGTTTATTTAGTCCCATTAAAATTGTTATGAGAAAAATATGTTGCACGCAAAAATGCAAATTGTAGGCGCTTCGGTTGACAAAAAAACACATTAAACAAATCGAAACGGTATCTTCAACTATCAGACAGATGGCTAAACCGACCAACATTTTGTAAACTATAAAATATTTGGGACACCGAATCATATCTAGTTTTCCCTTTATGGAGTATTTCATAGTTATGGGACAAAATATTTCAAATATTTTCATACCTATTGATTTGATTTAATTGACTGTAAATCCCTTTTTAAATTCAAGAAAAGTCAAATATTCGTTTAATTTAATAATTTATTTGATTGAGATGGGTTTTTAAATCATATTTCCATGTTTTTACAACAAAACGGGAGCAGTAGCAGCATAAGTCAAAGGAGCAGAGTAAGCGAATGGAGCAGCATAGGTGGCGGCGTATTTGGTAACTAGGGGAGCGGAGTAGGCAGCGGCAAGAGGGGTGGTGTAAGCAGCAGCTACTGGAGCAGCGAAGGTCTTAGCAACAATGGGAGCAGCAACAGTTTTGGCCACAACGGGAGCAACAACTGGAGCGGTGGCAATACCATTGTAGTTACGGGCAACATATTGGCTACTGGTGGCAGTAACGAAAGGTGCAGGAGCAGCAGCAACGACAGCAGCTGGAGCGGTATAAGCCAAAGGAGTAACCAAACCGGGCTTGGCAGCAGCACAAGCAATCATGGCGAAAATTACAACGGCCTAAAGAAAATAGATATTTGTTTTTTTTTAGATTTTGTATAAAAAAATTGTTGTGATTTTGTTTGACTTACGAATTTGAACATTTTGTTTGGATAGTTTCGTGAAATGCGGTTACTCTGATAATTGGAGAACAACTGATATTAAAACAAGAATAAATTCAACTATATATAGTCACTCAGAATTAAGTGTCATTGGATTACTGGATTCCAACCCATAGTGACTTTGGCAAAGCGGCATCCCAGGTACAAGGATGAAGATTTTTGCAAAAGAATTTCGATATAGGTCCATAACTTCCACATATATGTCCTTCAACATTTTCGATTTTTCTTAGCCCCAATAAACGACTTTTTCCTAGAAAATTTATCCCTTAATTTAAAGTTCCCAGTACAGTTTATGAAATTGGTTCAAATTTACATATTTATAAAACAAGTAAAAAAGTATGTTTAAAGTCAGGGTATATGTCTTCTAACCAATCCACACCAGTTATTATATATGGAACTCGAAGTCAGATTATACAATTTCATTGTGGACTGTGATTTTTTAACTGTGATTTTTTTAGCTTATACTAAAAATTTTTCTTTAGGAGGCTGGACTTCGTCGTTCGTCCTTGAAAATATACGGTCTATCAAAATTACAGTTCATAAGTGTATTTGTATATCCATTGGGAATTTTTACATTGGAAATTAATTTAAAATGTAAATCCTATAACATAAGGAGGAACCGAACAATTAACCGGAGACCCCATAAACTAAAAATATATTTGAATTATCCACATATTACAGCACCCTTAAAGCAAAAGTTGGTTGGTATTTTGGAGCCGCATTGAGTAGCAATTCTTCATATAAAAAGTATAAATATTAGTCCACATTATCGATATCCAATTATCAATCATCTTCCTACCAGCATTCAAATACTGCTAATAGGAAATAGTGTAAGAAAATTGGATACGAAATTTATATGACAGCCTAAAATCGGTCGCAATTATCATATAGGATGGGTGTCAAAAGTATTTGGAGCTATATTGCACTTTTCAAAAAAAAAAATGTCTTTGTCCCGAATACGGTTCTTCTACTTTTCATTCCTATTTTATATAAACCCTAAGATCAATAACCGGGTAAAAATTTTACCTTTTTTGATTAAAAATGCTGTAAAAATTTCAATTTGATTCAAATTTTGAGGAATCATTATTGAGGTACAATTTTACTAATAATTGATGGAAAATTATAAATATTCAATATATATATATATATATTTAATTATTACCATTCCAAAATAGGGCTATAATGCGAATTATATACAAACTAGTATATAGGAATCTGAGCTCAAACTTATGTATATATTTAAGGAATATATATTAAAATTCATGCTTAAAGGAAACAGACCCCTCCCCCATTCCGATTTTAAATTTTCAAGATTTTCAATGGGCTGGTAAATCAATACCAAAGCTTGTTGAGGTCTGTAACTTTGCAGATATGTATTTGGAGATTTAAAGAAAAAAAAATAATTTACAAAATTGTTTTTGTTTTGTTGTTGTTTTATGGGATTAAAGAAAATTCCTTCTTTTTGATGGCGGGCATGATAAGTCCTAACTAAAACATCGGAATCCAACGGTGTTAGAAAGGGTGCATGTCTGGCTCTCTTATGAACTTATTGTGTTGACTATTGACTTCGTTCAAAAATCAAGTTAAAAAACCAATTGGATTTATCCTAGTTCATACGATAGCTATACCGCACCAAAATTTGGAATCGGTCGGATTATTAGTTTTTGAGTTATCGTGCCCGCCATTCGCAAAAACGCTGGAGAAAAATTCGTTTAAAGTTTGAGAAGCCCCTTTCCCGTCACTAGATGCTAGCACAATAAATCGACTACAGCTTCAAGAGTTGTTGAGATTTTCGCTTGAAATTTCATAGGGACATTCTTGAATTAATGTAGATTCGAATTAAATCAAAATACAAAATTAATTTTTTTTGAAACCGAGAATGGACCCCCCTTAAATGATAATATATCCCCAACAGCTCTACAAAATTTTGTAACCCTATATGTTAGCAACCACTAATTATTGTTTTAGTCGGTGTATGCTAAAGCAAAACCAATGTGGTTCATGGCTTCTGGGAGTTATCCTGATGGTCCCATTTTAAAAATGGCCCCATGTTAAAAATTTCCATAGGGGTTGGGGATCACCCAAATTAGATCCCTGTAGAAATATTAAAAAAATAATTTAAACATCAAATTTAATATATATTCCTCAAATGTATGTATATAAATTTGAGTTCTTTCATCTAGTGCAGATCCGTATAGACACATTTACAAAGAAAACGTATGATACTCCCACTTCAAATTAATTACAGTGCAATATTTGAATGGATACAAATGTACCCAGTTATTGAGCTAGGTATACTTTTTTTGTTATTGACCGGTTTGAGGTTTAAATAATTAAATTAAATTCCATTGAGGTTCATCTTTGTTGCGTATACCTAACATAGACTTTCACATTAAGTTCTACATTCGATATCGATACCGTTCTTATTATAAAACACATTTTACACCAACACCAATAACATGTTTATTGGCACAATGTATGTATAAATATGTGTTTATGTATGTATTCAAAAAATAACCCCATATAAGTGTGTAATGAATTTCAATTGGAACAAACAATATTGTTAATTTAAACTTGATTTTATTCTTAATTCAATATCAGTTATTCTCCATCTAGCAGAGTAGTCACAATTCACAACTAAAACTATCAAAATGTTCAAATTCGTAATTTTAACTAAACAACTACATCTCCCTTACACACTCTATTAAATATATTCATATTCTTTAGGCCGTTGTTATCTTCGCTGTTATTGCCTGTGCTGCTGCCAAGCCTGGTTTTGTTACCCCTTTGGCTTATACCGCTCCCGCTGCAGTTGTTGCTGCCGCTCCGGCTCCTTTTGTTACCGCCACCAGTAGTCAATATGTTGCCCGTAACTACAATGCCACTGCTCCAGTCGTTGTCCCTGCTCCAGTCATTGCCACTGCTCCAGTCGTTGCCCCAGTTGCTACCCCTGTTGTAGCCAAAACTGTTGCTGCTCCCATTGTTGCCAAGACTTTAGCTGCTGCTTACACCGCCCCAATTGCTGCTGCTTACTCTGCACCCGTTGTAACCAAATATGCTACCACCTATGCTGCTCCTTTCGCTTACTCTGCTCCTTTGACTTATGCTGCTACTGCTCCAGTTTTCTTGTAAAAACGTATGGCTTATAATCGAAATGCTGTGACCAAATAAATTATTTACTTAAATGAACATTTTATTTTTTTTACATCTTTGGCATTTTTTAGTAGACTGAAAAATGAAGAGTGGACGTAAAAACATTTAAATTTTTTGTTTTGTTATTCTAAACATGAGCATAAAATGAAAAATATCTGCAAGGAATTATTTTTGGAATTTTCAGCGAGAAGGTTGTCACTTAAATGTCTACAACTACTGTTGTCGAAAAAAAGGGAAAATATCTTAAAATCTATAGGGAATTGTACTATGTCATGTTCGTTCCTCAATTAATTTCTTTGCGAATAAAATTTTTTCTTAAAATAACACGATACACGTTTCAAAATCGCATTAAAATATTAAAAAAAATCATTAAATGTCACTATATCTTAATTACTTAGCTGGCTTGTTACAGAACGGTTGTTCCATAAGCCGAGCTTAAAAAAGATTTCCAAGCGCGTCGGTCTTGTGCGCAAATCCACCAATTTGGAAGACCACGTAAAAAGACTTTGTTTTCTACTTGGAAAAAACTAATTCGTTGCTTTCTTCTACGGGAACCATAGCAAGGTCGCTTTTATATGCCTTTTGAGCTGGGATTATCATTCATTCGCACAACATGGCAACGATATGCCTGTATGCAAACGGCGTTAAACCAAGGTTGCAATAAACCGTAGCGCGCACATTTTAACGAATAATTAAGGACCAAACTAGGGGTCAATAAAAATTAGTATTTTTATACAAATCTAAATTAAACTCACGGTGAAAATCAGAATGTCGACCGACAGAATGGGACCGCTTTACCGAAATTGGTAGAATATATCCATCTGTTGGGAAAAGATAGTGACAACGGAGAGTATTGCTGTTGTAGCGCAAAGAGTTAAAAAAAAACTCTGGTTTTCCCTTTCCTGATGTCATTCGTTTTATTTACAGTGTTCAGGTATATAAAGCCTTTGACTAAAGGCTTATACAGTTCCATAGTTGTCTCCTACAAATGGACGTCTTGCGCGTTGATACCATCAGCATGGTTTTCTCGCCGTTTACTGCCAGACCCACTTTGGCAGACTCCTTTTCAATTTGTTCAAAGGTGGCTCGCAATGTTCGACCTATTATATCGATGTCATCGGCGTAGGCGAGTAACATGTGTTGTTTGGTGTACAGAGTGCCAGCAGGATGGAAACTTTTCCAGCAGGATGGAAACTTTCTAAATTTCTATTCCACATCAACGTGTGACTGTATGGTGTGGTTTATAGCTCGTCTGGGTCATTCGACTTTGATTTTTGAGCATGCCGATTACATATATCTTTGAATTACAAAATCTGAACTTGAATCGTAAATCATTGGTGCAAGATATTGCCCAGCCTGATTATAACCGCGTTTATCAAATTTAATTGAAATCATATCACAATTTGCTTTCATATATAGGATTCCCACGATGTTATATAATCATTAGCAAATATACTTAAGTTGAACATATTCGGAAGTTTGTATGATTTGTAATATAAATCACAGAAGCATCAGTTCCATGCATACAATATATTAGGCTTTAACATAGTCAATTCGATTATAATGCGATTCTTAATACAGTCGAATACGCTTATAATGAAATTTCTTTATAGCGAACACATTTACTAGTCCCGAAGTTTCAAGACATATTTTTCATAAAAATAATTATTCCAATAGCGAACTACGGATATAGCTAACTTTTTTTATAACGAACTATTTTTCAGTCCAAATTGTCAGTTTTCCTCTATTCAAATTGGTAACATTTACAAAAACCAGTAAGGAATGTAGTAAAGTCGGATACCCTACACCACTTTGGGTATATTCAACAGATGAATCTTAACAGACGTCCCATTTTTAAAGGACGAGTAAAATGAAATTGAATCCATAAACAAGTCATTCTGCAACCGATACTAAATTTTTCATTTGGTCAGATATAGAAGCTATATCTAAATCTGAACCGATTTCAGGAAACTTAACACACATCATTCTAGACCTATTCCATTACGCTGTGCCCAATTTCATGCAAATCAAAAGATATTGAGGGACTTTGAAACACCATTTGCCTTAAATCAGACGAAAAAATATATGGGAGCTATATATCTAAATCTGGACCGATTTTCACGAAACTTAACACATATCATTCTAGACCTAATTCATTACGCTGTGCCAAATTTTGTGCAAATGGAAAGATATATAGGGACTTTGATGCACCATTACATTAAATCGGACGAAAATATATATGAGAGCTATATCTAAATCTGAACCGATTTTCAGGAAACTTAACACACATCATTGTATACTTAATTCATACGCTGTGCCAAATTTCTTGCAAATCGAAAGATATATAGGGACTTTGGTGCACCATTTACATTAAATCGGACGAAAATATATTTTGGAGCTATATCTAAATCTGAACGATTTTTTCCCAATTTCAATAGGGTTCGTCCTTGGGCCGAATAAGTGACATATGCCAAATTTCATCCAAATCGGATCATATATGCGACCTGTACATTGTTCACAAAAATACATGGACGGACGGTCGGACATGCGTAAATCGACTCAAAAAAGTGATTTTAACATATACAGTATTTTTCGGTTAATTGCACATCAAAATTTGCACAAATTTTCGTTCAATTAACCGAGGAACCAATTATCCGAACCCGCTTAATTGAATAATTGGTTCAATTACATTAATCACGTATAATTGGAACTACTAATGATTTAAAAAAAATCCAACGTCAAATACAAATTACACTTTCTCGATGTTTTTCCTTAGCCATAAACACATGTTTTGAATTAGTAAAGATGCCACCTAGTCTTTTTCACAAATTATGTCAAATATGTATGTAAAAAAATGACAGATTATTTTTTAATTATTATTGTGCAATTAACGGTGAAAAGTAAAGGGAAATTTATTTTTGATGGCATGAATTTTGAACCAATTAAGCGGGAAAATCAATTAACAAGGTTTAATTACACTGTGCAGCACTAAATTCTTGAACCAATCGAGACCCCCAAAATCTTGAAGCTTGTGATGGTGGAAGAAAATCCATAGCTGGGTTTCGCATTATTAGCTAAGGTTTTCTTTTAAATTAATTTTTAAAATATTCGACTGGAGGTGGATTTTAACAATTTTCGAATAATACGTACTTATTATTGAGTCTATATTTCGTGAACTATTCGAAATATTGCTTTTCTCTCTTAAGCAATATTCTTCCTCTTAATTAAAACTAAAAATTTGTTCTTGAGATAAAATCAATAAAACATCACGATCATACTGAAAATAGCACAACTGCGAAAAAAATTAAAATTTCGACATACTTTTTCAATGTTTTTTCACACTTATTTCAGAAACTGCTACTGACTCGACCTAACAATATATGACAAGAAGATAGCCAATAGAAAATCAAACAACTCTTCTTAAAACCCCGATTTCATTGGTTGACTCCTTCACATAGTTATAGCCTCACAAATGCATCAAAATGAAGCAAAAAAATCAATCCCAATTGTATGTTTATAGAAATAAAAATTGCTATGCTTTTTCAATAAATAGGTACAAAATTAAAGTAAAAATTAAAATGTTTGGGCCCTGTGCCATATATGCACAGGGTAATATGCAGCGGTGGCAACAATATGTCACTTATATTTATACCCTTCACCACACTGTGGTACAGGGTATTATGTCTTTGTGCATATGTTTGTAACAGGAAAAAGGAAACGAGATAGACACATGGTTCCTTTTTAGAATATGCATAGAATCACTTTCTAAGTCGATTTATGCATGTACAAAGTACAGGTCGCATTTATGATCCGAATTGGATGAAATTTGGCACAGCTAGTCTATTTGGCGCAAGGACGAAACCTATTGAAATTGGGAAACACGGTTCCGATTTAGACATAGCTCCCATATATATTTTCTTACAATTAAGGTAAACGGGGCACCAAAGTCCCTATACATATTCGATTTGCATGAAATTTGGCATAGGGTACAGAATTAAGTCCAGAATGATGTGTGCTCAATTTCGTGAAAATCGGTTCAGATATAGATATAGCTCCCATTTATATATTCGTCAGATTTAAGGTAAATGGTGCTCCAACGTCCCTAAATAACTTCCGATTTGCACGAAATTTGGCACAGCGTACTGAATTAAGACTAGAATAATGTGTGCTAAGTTTAGTGAAAATCGGTTCAGATTTGGATATATCTCCCATATATATTTTCGTACGATTTAAGGTAAATGGTGCACCAGAGTCTGTATTTATCTTTCGATTTGCACGAAATTTGGCACAGCACAATGAATTAGGTCTAGAATGATGTGTGTTAATTTTCCTGAATTCGGTTCAGATTTAGATATAGCTTCTATATCCGACCAAATGAAAAATGTAGTATCGGTTGCAGAACGACATGTTTATGGATCCAATTTAATTTTACTGGTCCTTCAAAAATGCGACGTCTGTTAGGGTTCATCTGTTGAATATACCCAAAGTGGTGAAGGGTATCATATAGTCGGCCCCGTCCGACTTTACTACTTTCCTTACTGGTTTTTATTAGTGGCTCTGCTGTAATGTCTAATGTGGCATATTTTACTCCTGACATACGTTTTTCCCAAGTGTGCGAGTAGTGATCGACTTTTGCTGTTGTGTCCCAACGGCACAAAAACCAATAATACTTTGACCATCCGAAATATTGACAACTTTAAGGTCGCACCTCCAGTTCCTGCGTTTACCCTTTGTATATATCGCTGCGACATGTCTTCGAAAAAAACTAAAGGGCCCAAACATTTTAATTTTTACTTTAATTTTGTACCTATTTATTGAAAAAGCATAGCGATTTTTATTTCTATAAACCTACAATTTGGAGTGAATTTCTTTGGTTCATTTTGATGGATTTGTGAGGTTATAACTATGTGAAGGAGTCAACCAATAAAATCGGGGTTTTAAGAAGAATTGTTTGATTTGCTATTGGCTATCTTCTTGTC